TGTGGTAACCATTATTAAAAATAAGACAAAATAAAACAAAATGCTTTTACTAATATAAAAGTTTTTAAAACTAGTCCAACCAGATCACAACTTTGATCCCTCTCATATGAAATAATGCAACATACTAGAGCAACTTGGTCTTGGCACCCTGATTTCAGTGAACATGTTGCCAGTGTGTCTCTGGCCTTACAACTTAATATAATTCCTGAAGCTGAAATTGAATAATAATAAGTTTAACTATTCATTAATGTAAATTTTACAAGCTGTTCTGTAGGGCTTGACACTAACAAGAATAGTGTATTTTTTTTTATTTACAGCTAAAATACTGTCAGGGTTTGGATATAATGGAGGGTAATGTCGAAGGTAACACAAAGGAAGTGGAGAGAACTAGAAAGCGATGTCCGTTAGACCACAGCACACATTCCAAGTATATACTGGACCAGAGTACAACTCCCTTGACGAACATAACAGACCCCACACATAGCAGAGGGGAGGGCGCGATGATCACAAAGACAAAGGTCACATACACAACTTTCTAACAAATACATTACCTCATATATATATTATATATTATAACTAATTTATATTGTATAATAACTAATTTGTATATATTGTATTATAACTAATTATATTGTATAATATATATATATATACAGTGGAACCTTGTTTAACGAGCATAATCCATTCCAGAATCTTACTTGTAGTGCGAAACATTCATTAAGCGAAACAGGTTTTTTGCATATAAATTAATTAATGTAAAATATGATAATGGGTTCCATGCCAAAAAAAATACTCAAATATTTTATGTATAATGTTTATTAAATATACATTGTTAAGGAGCGTGAATCATCATCATCTTTTCATCTAGCATGGAATGAACCAACCTGAAATGTGAATTTGATTTGCAGATAATGTATCTGATAAACATGCCAAACGTATTGTTTGATATAAATTCTTGGGCTATTAAATTTAATAATTATAAATAATTAACTTTTAATTTAGATATTTCTAAAATTTAAGTTGGAATTGGTCATTAAATTTAATATGAGATGGCAGCATAACTGTCTACCTCTAGTCAAATTAATTAATTTCTAATATTTAATTATAGCCTTTACATAGCCCAAGAAATTGGCATATTGTTTGATGTGTTTATTATATAGTGGGTGATAGTTGTTGATGTTTATGCATAATATGTGTGAACACAAGTTTGGAAAAATGTTTGATCACAAGCGACACTAAGATGTTAGCGGAACGAGTGCTAAACACAGACTGATGGAGCATGCGCACAATCCAGGATTTCCCCTCTCCCTATCACTCGTTATGCAAAACATTGCTCGTTAAGTGAGTCGTTTTTACAATTTTGTTTTGCTTGTTATGTGAGGTGCTCGTTAAGCAAGGTTTTACTGTATATTAAATAACAGTTCCAAAATTTCAAAATCAAGCAATTTTACATGATTGCAAAATTGCTTGTTTTTAGAGTTTATCTCTAGAATTAATTCAAATGCAAATGTAAAATGATAATTATTAGCTTTCAGTTCAGTGAATATGTCATTTATAATAATATGATTATCTTATTAGTCTGTACTTCAAATTATATATATTTTTTAATATAAAGTAGATTCATCTTTTGATTCATTGTTATTGGATTCAATTTTTTTTAAAATAAAATTGAAACATGATAGTTGCTATAGCTATCATTGTTTATGAGTGCAACATCTCTAATTTAATTATCTCGAGTATTTCTTTGGAGAATGACTTCTATTTTTTTCGTATTTTGCTATGTTATTAAATATTTTTTTAAAGTTTTAAGTAAATGTTTTTTTCAACAAATAATTTTTTGTATTTATGGACCAAATTTTTTGAGGGTATAATTTGCTTATAAATTTTTAACCTTTTAAGACATACAAATAACTCTTATAAAAATAAATAATTAATTAATTGGATGGAAAAATGCTTGCAAGAACAGAAAGGAAAAATGTGTTAAATTGAATACATAGCCGAGTGTTTTTAATTGAATATCAAAAGAAAAGAACATGCCCTTTAATTCTAAATTGAATTCTGAGAGTTATAAAAAAAAATTTCAGAATATCAAAACTTTTCTAGACAAATAGTTCATACATTTAAAGTGTATTTATGTTACCTTAAAATTGATAATTTATTATTTATTAAAGCTATAGACAGATAAATATTTTTAAAATATATAGTTATTTTGTCTATAAAGTTAGAATGAAAACTGTCAAGATTTAAAATTTTATTATAATTTTTAGAATTCAATTTTAGAACCAGCAGTTTGTTTTTTCCTTTTCAATGTTTGATGAAAAATGCTCAACTGTACATTTTATTAAATATATTTTCCCTTTGCTGCTGTTAGGCATATTTTTCCATTTAGTTTTAAAATATATTTCCTAACTCTATACATTTTTTGTTTTGTATCTATTTAATCATGAATAACAACCTGATATTTCATTATTTTTTATTGATAATTGGCAGTTTTAATAATACTTTCATTTGTAACATTCAAATTTCTGATGTTAGTAGATATGATTTTGAATTATAGGGTATACTTTCTTTTTACACATTAATTTAAAACAATTTCTCACAAANGCTCTGCTACCATGTCAGGGTTTGGATATAATGGAGGGTAATGTCGAAGGTAACACAAAGGAAGTGGAGAGAACTAGAAAGCGATGTCCGTTAGACTACAGCACACATTCCAAACTAAACTATACTGGACCAGAGTACAACTCCCTTGACGAACATAACAGACCCCACACATAGCAGAGGGGAGGGCGCGATGATCACAAAGACAAAGGTCACATACACAACTTTCTAACAAATACATTACCTCATATATATATTATATATTATAACTAATTTATATTGTATAATAACTAATTTGTATATATTGTATTATAACTAATTATATTGTATAATATATATATATATACAGTGGAACCTTGTTTAACGAGCATAATCCATTCCAGAATCTTACTTGTAGTGCGAAACATTCATTAAGCGAAACAGGTTTTTTGCATATAAATTAATTAATGTAAAATATGATAATGGGTTCCATGCCAAAAAAAATACTCAAATATTTTATGTATAATGTTTATTAAATATACATTGTTAAGGAGCGTGAATCATCATCATCTTTTCATCTAGCATGGAATGAACCAACCTGAAATGTGAATTTGATTTGCAGATAATGTATCTGATAAACATGCCAAACGTATTGTTTGATATAAATTCTTGGGCTATTAAATTTAATAATTATAAATAATTAACTTTTAATTTAGATATTTCTAAAATTTAAGTTGGAATTGGTCATTAAATTTAATATGAGATGGNATAAAGTTAGAATGAAAACTGTCAAGATTTAAAATTTTATTATAATTTTTAGAATTCAATTTTAGAACCAGCAGTTTGTTTTTTCCTTTTCAATGTTTGATGAAAAATGCTCAACTGTACATTTTATTAAATATATTTTCCCTTTGCTGCTGTTAGGCATATTTTTCCATTTAGTTTTAAAATATATTTCCTAACTCTATACATTTTTTGTTTTGTATCTATTTAATCATGAATAACAACCTGATATTTCATTATTTTTTATTGATAATTGGCAGTTTTAATAATACTTTCATTTGTAACATTCAAATTTCTGATGTTAGTAGATATGATTTTGAATTATAGGGTATACTTTCTTTTTACACATTAATTTAAAACAATTTCTCACAAATTTGTAAAAATTTAATAATTTATAACAATATATAATGTTAATTAATCATAAATATAGTTAAATGAATACTAAATAGAAATGCAAACTCTCAAGTTTATTTTTAAAGTTTAGATTACAGGAATTTTTAATATTTGTGGTTTTATGTTACTCTTTGATTTATCAAAAAGAAATACAATGCAAGCTGTATTTCATAATATTAAATTATTATATTATAGTGAAATTCAATATAAAATATTATCATTGTTTTAATTTTTAAAATGTTATATTTTTTTAAAAGATTTTTTTTAATAAATGAAAGTAAATTTATATTCAGATTTTTATTTTTATATTATAGAATAAATAAAATATGATTAAAAACTGAAATGTATNCTTTTTTGTTTTCGAACCTGAAGAAGGTCAGTGAAGCTGTCCGAAAACGTTAGTTGGTAGCAAAATTAAGCTGCATGTTAAAGGTTTTCTTGGAGCATGTTGATTTATGACTTATATCCAACTTTTCATTTTTAAAAGGAGTGATCACTATTCTGTTCTTTAAATATAATTAAAAATATGTAGAGAATCTTTGAGTCCTATAAAAACTCTTGATATTCAAACTATTCTTTCTCTTGCTAAATTTTAAAAAAAGTTTCTGTACATCTGCCATTTTAGTTGTTTTAGATTCAACTTTTTCAAGTATCAAATGTCTTTTTCTATTTTTTTTCTGGATGATATCATTTTCTCTTCAAGGTCCAAAATGCATAGACTTATAAACACACCCTAGAAAATATTATAAATTTTTTTATGTCTACTGAAATTCATATATAATATGGCTTAAATTCTTTTAAAGTATGAGGAATCTGATTTGCTAAAGCTAATTAAAAGTTTGAAAAATTAAAATTATGATCAACATATAAAGCAGATCATGTAAATGGGAAAAAATATTATAAAAACAAAAACAATTCCTCTATCAAATTAGATATCCATTATATTGCTTATTCAGAATCTTTTCTCATTATTTCTAGCAGTTTGAAATAGACAAAAAAGACCTGGATACGGTATTTTAAACAAAGTAAGAGTTGAACGAAAGTATTGGATCATGAAAAAATATTAAGCAAAAGTATGGAATATTTTGATGATTATTATAATACAAATTATTATAATAAAAAATATTGGATTTTAAACATGCTAAAATGAATAATACTGTTGTAAATAAATTTTATGACATCATTATAGTGAAGTGAAAGTGCAGATTATGTGCTCAAAATAATGATAAATGTGTGATGTTTTATTTTCATAGGAGGGCAGCTTATGCCGCAAGGGGAACAGGAATTGGCCACAAAGATGTTGCAGATCCAGTCCAAAAGGTTTTATTTAGATGTTAAACAAAACAGAAGAGGAAGATTTATCAAAGTGGCAGAGGTATTAATAAGACTTATGAATAGTATTCCCTTATTAATATATTTTCATTTATGGGTTAATTGTGCTAATCAAAGAATATTTCTTTTGATATAATTTAATGCATTAATAATAATAAATTCTATACACGGAGCAAGTTATTATTAACAATATTCAATTCAATGATATATTTTAATTAAAACTAAATAAATAGTTAAATATAAAAATATCAAGAGAGTCAAACTGGAATTTAATTAAAGTATGTTTTAATACTGACAAATAATTGATTTAATGGAATAATTTTTTTATTTAGAAATATTTATAAGAATTTTTACTTATGAAATATATACAATTATACCCATTTTTATTGACAATCATTCTAAAATTGCTTTTTATATTGATTACATTAATATTTTTCCTAGATTTATTACTTATTTTAAATTGTATTAGAATAGTTTCAGTAAATCCTGCATAGAATCTAGACTGATGCAATTTTATTATTTTTTTTTCCTACACAAAAAAGATAGGTATTTCAGGTGTTCATTCCCCTAATTAGTCTCTATGAACAATTATACAATCTTATAAAATTTTTTGAAACTGATCTAATATTAGTGAAATTTTTAACAACATTTTATATTAAAATTCTAGGTTTATATAAAATATAAAACAAAATGATTGGAATTTTAATAAAGTAAAAATTACATTACAGATACTAAACATAACTTCATTGCTCATCATGTCCAATCACCAGTAACAACTATTCTTAACTGCAGAGATTACTTTCTTTGTAGGATACTACTCTGCACAAATATGCAAAACAGTCTAAAATGTCCATAGGTGATAATCCCAACACAATTAAAAATATAACATTTCTTAGTAAATTTCTTTTTTATGATTGGCAGTTTTAAATTTGATTGACCTATATCCATTAATCTCTATAACTTCTAAAACTCAAACTGCACTTTATTCATAAATCAACATGCTACAAGAAAACCTTTAACATGCAGCTTAATTTTGCTACCAACTAACGTTTTCAGACAGCTTCACTGATCTTCTTCAGGTTCAAAAACAAAAAATTTCATTCAAGATGAAAGTTCTTTTTCTTAACAGAAACTTCAAGAACGCTTATCTTTTAAATCAAATAATCATAGATTCGATTGCGTCAGCTTGTTCTTTAAATTTGCAAATCTGCCGCTTTCCATGCCGATGCTAGTTTACACGATTCCCGAAAATTTATGGCTTGCCCGTTTTTGTTGTATTTATTAATATACCATGCTTTTGTATATTTTAGATGCTGTATGTTTGAAACTTTTTGTATAAGTTCTGCTTTATCCCAGTCAACTGAAACCTCTACTGTTTCTGCAATCACGTAATTTGCTAATGCTGTGACTGGTTGTTCATACCTAATATCCCTTTTATGCGCTTTCAACCTTTTGTTATTAACAAAAGGTTGAAAGGTTGATCTTTTTTGTTTTCGAACCTGAAGAAGGTCAGTGAAGCTGTCCGAAAACGTTAGTTGGTAGCAAAATTAAGCTGCATGTTAAAGGTTTTCTTGGAGCATGTTGATTTATGACTTATATCCAACTTTTCATTTTTAAAAGGAGTGATCACTATTCTGTTCTTTAAATATAATTAAAAATATGTAGAGAATCTTTGAGTCCTATAAAAACTCTTGATATTCAAACTATTCTTTCTCTTGCTAAATTTTAAAAAAAGTTTCTGTACATCTGCCATTTTAGTTGTTTTAGATTCAACTTTTTCAAGTATCAAATGTCTTTTTCTATTTTTTTTCTGGATGATATCATTTTCTCTTCAAGGTCCAAAATGCATAGACTTATAAACACACCCTAGAAAATATTATAAATTTTTTTATGTCTACTGAAATTCATATATAATATGGCTTAAATTCTTTTAAAGTATGAGGAATCTGATTTGCTAAAGCTAATTAAAAGTTTGAAAAATTAAAATTATGATCAACATATAAAGCAGATCATGTAAATGGGAAAAAATATTATAAAAACAAAAACAATTCCTCTATCAAATTAGATATCCATTATATTGCTTATTCAGAATCTTTTCTCATTATTTCTAGCAGTTTGAAATAGACAAAAAAGACCTGGATACGGTATTTTAAACAAAGTAAGAGTTGAACGAAAGTATTGGATCATGAAAAAATATTAAGCAAAAGTATGGAATATTTTGATGATTATTATAATACAAATTATTATAATAAAAAATATTGGATTTTAAACATGCTAAAATGAATAATACTGTTGTAAATAAATTTTATGACATCATTATAGTGAAGTGAAAGTGAAAAAATTGAAGTGAAAATTATAAAATTGAAGTGAACATGATAATGAAGCGAATGATGTCATCCAGTAGTGAATTAAGTGAAGATAAGAAACAGTTAATTAATTAATTAATAATTTTGATGCAACAAGAAGGAAAATTACAAAGGACAGTAGCAAAAACATCACAGTGCTCTCAAAGAACAGTTTCTAAAATAATTTCAAAGTTTAAAACATTTGGAACTGTGAAAAATCAGCAATGGGTTTGAAGACCAAGATCTGCAACCAAGAGAGATGACTGTAACTTAATTAAAATTGTTAAGGAAAAAAGATTTTTGTCATCATGCAGCATTAATTCGAAATGGGGAGAAACAGGTGTTAATGTATCAGACATTACAGTAAGGAAGAGGCTAGCAGAAAAAGGTTACTACTCAAGAAAAGTCAAAACAAAGCCTTATATGACCAAAAAAAAACAAAACAAAACAAAAATTAATTCTTTTGCCTCTATGTCCTATATTAATAGCCTCTATAATAAAGAATTTAATAAAATTCTTTATTATATAGATGAAAAAATAAAAACAACACCTTATTTCCTTTTTTGTTTGAATTTGTTTAACTGATAAAGGCTATTAAAAATAGTCGAAAATGTTATCTTATTGAATAATAGTTTTATTGCTATTATTTAATAAGATAATAACGTTTTTGACTATTTTTAATAGCTTTTATCAGTTAAATGAATTCAAACAAAAAAGGAAATAATAAAGTGTTGTTTTTATTTTTTAAATAATTCATTATCCAGTAAGTTCTTTATTTATTTAAAGATATTTTGTTTTACTGAATAAAATCTTCTCTATTTGCTAAAACAGAAACAACAGCAGTATAAGTCCTATTAATATACAGAGTCCAGTGTAGACAGTGATATAATAAATAGAAGAAAAATTGTTTGAAATGGGCCAAAAGTTATAAAGACTGGAGTGTTACTGACTGGCAACAAGTTATGTTCACAGATGAATCAAAAACTTGTGTTGGTTATGGTAATGATTGTGGCACATCAGTATACAGAAGATCAGATGAAAAATTCGAACCTGACTGTTTAAATTCATCAGCAAAATTTCCTAAAAGTGTAAAGATGTGAGGATGTATAACCTGTAAAGGGGTTTGTGAAATGGCAGTCCCTGATAGTACATTGAATGCTGATGGTTATTTGGAGTTACTAGAATCTTTGGTCATTAAAACATCAGATCACTTTGGTGATGAGGATTATATCTACCAGGATGACAGTGCATCATGCCAAAGGGCTAGACAAATTAACCAATAATTTCAAGAAAATAAAATACAGCATTTAGAATGGCCTGTCAACAATCCAGATATATCTCCCAATGGAAATGTTTGGAATTTTCTGAAGAAAATGATCTGTAAAAAAGGAGCTACAACAGTCATGATCACAGGTTGATCCAGAACTGTGTATAAAACTTATTTCTACAATGTCACAAAGAATTAAGGCTGTAATTAGGGCAAAAGACAGTCCTACAAAATATTAATCATAATTATTCCATACTTTTGTTTGACTCTTTGTTTAAAATACTGTAATTTTGTAATTTATGCAAATATCTTTACAAAGTTTAGTGTATAAATACTCTATGTCTGTTATATTTGCAAATTATTACAAGTTCATTAATATTTTTGTGAATTTGATTATTTAAGGATTAAAATAATTTTTCTGCAGCAATTACAAAATATTCCACACTTTGCTCAGAAGTTGTATGAGCTGAGATAATGTACATTGTGTTTGTTGCAACTATATTTAGTGTTTAACTTGTTGGAAAATGGATTCTAGGTAGACAGAATCAGATTAGACTTAAGAAATTTTCCTGGAAAATGTCTTGCATTATGTCTATTTTGTTTCTTTTGATGTGTGTGTCATGAAACTTTAGGTATAATGATCTTCAGTGTTGCTTTATGATTTCTGAGAATGTTGGTGTTGGATGTACTGTACTTTGCATAAGTGTAGTTTATGCAGTAATTATGAGCATGGGATCCTGTCAAATGCTTTCCTGTATGTAATGTGTATTTCTGTGCTGCTTATGTACTTTCCACAGAATAATTGAATTGACAAATGATCTGCCAGATTATTTATGATACTATAATAAGGCTGATATAATACAGTAAACTCCCAATTATCTGGGCTAATGGTGGGGAAAGGTGGCACCGATAATCGAAACACACGGATAATCCGAACTATAATTATTTATTTCTAAAATACAACATATTATACATTTCTAAGGCAGACAATTATTTGAACATGTTTAATGCTCATTACTATTAAGAAAATCTGTGATTTTGGTTTATTTGCAGGAATTTTTTAATATCAGTTCGAATTTTTATAAGATCTATTATGCCGTTATACTCGAATTCCCATTAGTCGATGTACTCCAACAAAGTGTCAACAGAATTCAGGACTGTGTTGTGACTAATGTGCTTCAAACATCTAAATATGAACATGTGCACACTTATAGGATGTGTAAACATGAAAGTGAACAACTATTTAAAAAATACATACACATATAATGTTTTTTTTAAATTAAATTCATGCACGGATAATCCGCACACGGATAATCGGTTTGCCATAACCAGAGTGTTTTAATTTAAATTTAAAATATTCTGGAAGAAAAGATCAGCCACTACCACAGTGGGACTAAACCTGCAACTCCTGCTTACCATGCAGATGCATTG